TCCTCTTCCTCCTCTTCCTCCTCGTCCTCCTCCTCCTCATCATCATCTTCCTCCTCCCCCTTCTCTTCCATCGTTTCCATATACACAACTCCTCCCTGTCGCACCCCGAGGTCGGTCGAAAGGGCGGGCCAACCATTTCGCCTGAGACGTCCCTAATACGAATGACCCTGAAGCTGCACATTTGCAGCAAATTTACGGATGGAGGGTGGTCCGCTTTCAAAAATGGCTCTCGCTGTCGCCCCGGGCCCATTCGTCTTAAGTTAAGTTGCGACGACTTCACGAATGCAGGGCGGCCGATTTCAAAATGTGGTGTTCGCTTTCACGCCACGCACATTCGTTGCAAAAATTTGCACGAGCTGCGCGGATGGATTGCGGTCCACGTCCAAACTGCGGTTTTCGCCTAAGTTCCGTGCACATTCGTCTTACAAAAACTGCAAGGACTTCACGGATGGATGGCGGTCCGCTTTCAAAATGTGGCTCTCGCCTTTGCGGTGCGCAGATTCGTCCTAAAAACTCCAAGAGGTTCACGGATGGAGGGCGTCCCGCTTTTTAGAGATGGCTCTCGCCTTAGCGCCGCGCACATTCGTCTTAAGAGCTTGCGACAAGTTCATGCACTGCCATGCCGAACGTTCCATGATTCGCGGTGTTGAAGCCAAGCACGGCGCTCTGGCACGATTCTGCATCGTCAAGGCGTAACAATAACAATGATTCGCCGCGTTGAAGTCCCAGGAACGGTGTGCTGGCACAGTTCTGGATTTCAAGCGGTTGCCTTCCATCGAGGCACGTCCCTCAATGAACATGAACCCTTGTACTTATGGGGCCTGTGAAAAGGGATTTTGAAGGGAGGGTTCATTGCAATCTCGTTGATGAGCCTTGGGTTTGCACACGTTCTCCTCCTCCTCCTTCTCTTCCTCCTCCCCCTCCTCCTCCTCCTCCTCAGATTCCTCCTCCTCCTCCTCATCCGCCTCCTCCTACTGTTCCTTTTCCCCTCAGTGGCGTGCGATCCTCCTACTGTTCCTCATCCTTCTCCTCCTCTCGAGGTCTCCCGCGCTGGTCCAGTAGAATATTTAGGGAACCTCGGATCCTTGGAGGTCCTGGAGGGAGCATCCCCATAGGACCTCCCAGAGGACCAGGGGAGACCTCCCAGAGACCTCCACTCCAGCGGAGGGGACCTCTGAGAGATTCTCTCGGAGACCTCTGTTGCGCTACCTTACGAGGCCGCGAGAGCCTGGCCAGAGTTACGAAGTGCCTGAACCAAGGCCGCCAAGGTCACCCAGAGGCCGTCGTCGCCTGCAACTTGGGGAGGGACCGGAGGCCACAGACCCTTCAGCGCCAGGCCATGGGGTAGATAAGCGACCACATCGCCGCGGTCAAAAACATCAACAAAAAACAGATCCCTGTTTCTTTCCGCAATCGTCGGACCGAGAATCGAAGATCCAGGCTTCTGGACGTCTCTATGCCTGGGCACGGCTCCCGAGGCGCCTTGGTGGCCACGGCTGGTCCCACACCTGACCAACTGCCCCCGGAGGTTGCCAAAGGTGACCTTCGACCATACGTGCCCCCAGAGTTTCAGGCTATTGGGGGCCCCTTGGGCCCCCATCGGGCTCGTGAGGGTTGCTCCGCAAGCCATCTGAGCCTCCCTTGAGAAGCTGGGGTCGCCTTGGGCCAGGGCCACTTCTGGCAACACCCAACGCTCCCACACTCAACCTCCTCAAATCCATGAGCCCAGGGCAGCTAGGCGCGTGGCTTGGCGCTCTTGGACATGGCTGGCGCGGGGGGAACGGCGAGACGGGGGGGGGTCGGAGGGCGGGGGCATGGGATGGTAGAGGATGCGTACGTGAAGTGCGGGGCGGGGACGTTGAAAACTTGAGAGGGGTTCTAGGTGGGTCGCTGCTGATGAGAGATAGATGGCCCTTGGTGGGAACAGAGGGGAACACGTGTCCTCTCCTGGTTTCCAGGCCATGACCGTTCCTCCTCGTCCCGCGTCTTCTGCACAACCAACTGTTCGCCGATCGATGTGGGCCACCGACATGTGAGACCTCTCCCCCTCCCCTGACCCCCTCCTTGGTCTGGGCTCGGGGGAAAGCACCTCATACTCGCACGCGCTGGTGCACTTGTGTATATATACATATACATATGTGTGTATACTATTATATAAGATGTGTACAAATATTTTGTTTACATATATATATATATATGTACAAGACTGCAGTGGCGTTTCGCGCCATGCACCTTGGTCCTTGAAATTTGGTACGCAGGCGGAATGGCAGGAAGGTCAAGCCGACAATTTAGCGATAACTCCTGGTTGCCTTTTCTGGCATCGCCGCTATCATAATGTTTTTCGTTATCCTTCCTCTATGCTTATTGTTCCTTATTTTCGCCATACCCTGCGCATTGTCCCCATCCTCCTCAGCTCTTTTTTGCGGAGGCTCCTCCTTGGAGAGCCTCTAGGGGCCTCACAAAAATTGTTTCAGGCTTTCTTAAGGCCTTCTGGAGGCCTCCTGGGCGTATTCTGGGGCCTCCGGGGGCTTCCTCGGGCCACCCTGCCTCCAACCGCGGTCTCTCTGAACGACCGAATCACGATTTGGAATTCTTCGGAGGGTGTCTTTGGGCCATCTTGGGCCGCCATGGGGCTCTCTGAGGGCGATCGTGGACCCGTGTTGTGCCGTTTTGGGGCTCTCTTGGACTGCCTGGAGGCCCTTTCGGATGGTTGTGGGGCGATTTGGGAGCCTCCCAGGCGGCTTCGGACGCCCAGAAGACCGCCGTCTTGGAGCATCGGGAAGCCGAAAAGAGGAGAACCCCAAAATTCACAGAAAACCGACAGAAAATCAATGATTTGTGCCTCGGGGGGCCTTCTTGGGAGTGCTCTTGGAGGCCTCTTTGGGGCCGTCCTGGAGGCCTCTTGGGCCATCTTGAGGTCACGTCCGTCACTCTTGGAGCGCCCTTGTGCTGTCTTGGGGGTCTCTGGGACGTCTTCGATGACCCCCCTGATCGCCCTAAATGTGCTGGGAAGGCTTGACAAAACGCATTAAGAGGCCCGGTGGCCGCTTCGAGGCCCGTCTGGAGGGTCCCAAAGCCCCAGATCCCGGGAGTCCAGTTTTTTTGTTTGATGGGGGGGGACGGGTGTTCCCCCCGCCCAGGCTTACAAAAATATAAGAATATATATGTATATGTACATACATACATACATACATACATACATACATACATACATGCATGCATGCGCATGCATGCATGCATGCATGCATGCATACATACATACATACATACATACATGCATGCATGCATGCATGCATGCATACAAAAATATAAGAATATATATGTATATGTACATACATACATACATACATACATACATACATACATACATGCATGCATGCGCATGCATGCATGCATGCATGCATGCATACATACATACATACATACATACATGCATGCATGCATGCATGCATGCATGCATGCATGCATGCATACATACATACATACATACATACATACATTACATTACATTACATTACATTACATTACATTACATTACATTACATTACATGACATGACATGACATGACATGACATGACATGACATTACATTACATTACATTACATTACATTACATTACATTACATTACATTACATTACATACATATATACATAAATACAAAAATATATATATACATGGATACATACACACAGACCTACCTACATACCTACATACCTACATATCTACATACCTACATACATACAGACCTACAGACCTACATACCTACATACCTACATACCTACATACCTACATACCTACATACCTGCATACATACATACATACATACATACATACATACATACATACATACATACATACATACATGCATGCATGCATACATGCATGCATACATACATACATACATACATACATACATACATATAGTCCTTTTCCTATATTTTATATGCCCGTGCGGGGGAAAAACCCGTCTCCCCCCCCCGCCCCAAAGCCGGACTCCCAAGAAGGCCCCCCGAGGCACAAAGCATTGATTTTCAATCGGTTGTTGGTGAATTTGGGGGTTCCCCTCTTTTCGGCTTCCCGACGCTCCAAGACGGCGGTCTTCTGGGCGTCCGAAGCCGCCTGGGAGGCTCCAAAAAATCGCCCCACAACCATCCGAAAGGGCCTCCAGGCGGTCCAAGAGAGCCCCAAAACGGCACAACACGGGTCCAAGATCGCCCTCAGAGAGCCCCATGGCGGCCCAAGATGGCCCAAAGACACCCTCCGAAGAATTCCAAATCGTGATTCGGTCGTTCAGAGAGACCGCGGTTGGAGGCAGGGTGGCCCGAGGAAGCCCCCGGAGGCCCCAGAATACGCCCAGGAGGCCTCCAGAAGACCTTAAGAAAGCCTGAAACAATTTTTGTGAGGCCCCTAGAGGCTCTCCAAGGAGGAGCCTCCGCAAAAAAGAGCTGAGGAGGATGGGGACAATGCGCAGGGTATGGCGAAAATAAGGAACAATAAGCATAGAGGAAGGATAACGAAAAATATCATTATAGCGGCGATGCCGGAAAAGGCAACCAGGAGTTATCGCTAAATTGTCGGCTTGACCTTCCTGCCATTCCGCCTGCATACCAAACTTCAAGGACCAAGGTGCATGGCGCGAAGCGCCACTTCAGTCTTGTATATATGTATACATACATCTATTTACTTGGGAGTCCCGAAACGGTGCGGAGACGGACCGTGCGGTGACCTCGAAATCCCCCAAGACCTCACCGCACGGTCCGTCACCGCACGGTTTTGGGACCTCGGAGGCCCCTGTCGCCCGAGACGTCCTCGGAGGACGACCCGAGTCCCAAAACCGTGCGGTGACCCCGAATCCCCATCGACTCACCGCACGGTGTGGTCACCGCACCGTTTGGGGGCCCCCGATTTACATATATATATACATATATACATTTATATATGTATATAAATGTATATAAATGTATATACATATACAGATCGACCCCTGTGATCATACCATTTGCCTTGTCTTCGATGTGTTCTCTCGCGCTGGGTCTCAGTCTCTCTCTACCCTCCGGAGGGAGATGGCCCCCATGCTGGTGTCCTCAGCAGGCGGCAATGAAAAATGAGTTAGCCTTCCACTCGAAATCCGTCGAGTAGCCAGACGTGAGCACCTTCTCGTCGCACTCACTCAAACTACAATCGCACTTGCCAACCGTCTCAGAGTACTGCTTATACTCTTGGCACTCCGTCAGCAGGCTCGGCATCACCTTGACGCCGCAGCCGCACACCTTGAACTCGCTGGTGCCCGCGTGTTCGTGGCAGCCCACCAGGCTGTCCAGGCCGCTGCTCTCCCCGAACTTCGCGCCGTTCACGAAGACCTGGTCGTTGATCGTGAACCTCGTGTCCGCGCGGGTGGCGTTCGCCCTGATGCGGCTCGCCTCGGCCGGGTCGCCGTCGAGGAGGGCCAGCAGAGCGACGAAGACGGCGGCGCGGGCCATGGCTGCAGTGGGAAGCGGGGCAGGCGCCGGCGGGGGTCGGCGGCCTGGTCTGACTGACGGGGCAGCTTGAGCCAAAATGGCTACGGGCCCTCAGGAGGGAGATGGCGAGGAGGAGGAGGGGAAGAAGAACAAGGAAGAGCTAGTTAATATAAGTACGAAGCAAGTGGACCGAGGTAATATGAATGCGATCCCGACGATGATGAGGATGATACCGAGGCGATGGCGATAGAGATGCTGAGGAGGAAGAGAGAAAATCCTTAATACGAAATCCGGAATAAGGGATCTTGAACAATGGATATGTATTAAAGAATCGTTACGCCAGGAAACCTGATTGAAGACTCTGAACTACGGAACCCTTACCAGAGAATATTTCACAACGAATCCTTACTAAAGAATATGTACGAAAGAATCCATTGTATGAAATATGTACCGAGGAACCCTTTGTAAAATAAAGACCCTTAACTGAGATCCCCGCAAACAAGATTTTTGCATTAAGAACTAAAGAACCCTTTTGAAAAGAAAACTTGAATTAGAAACTTTAATCCGAAACCCTAATCAAGGGATCTGTCATAAGGAGTCGTCGAGGTATCTCCTCCACAAAGAACCCGAATTACGGAATTATTACTCATGAAGATTGCCATGGGATCCGTACTAAAGAATATGTACTACGGTAACCGTACTAAGCAATCATACATTGGGAATCCTTCATAAGGAATCCTTACTAAGGAAGCCCAAAAATGGAACCTGAACTAAGGAATCTTTTATGAGGAATCGCTAATAGAGAAAACCCGCCACAAGGAATCCTGAATAAGGAACCCTTAATAAAGAAAATGTCCTGAGAAATCCGTACTAAGAGATATTCATCACGGTACCTAAGAAAATGAATCAAGAAACCCTTAAAACGGAACCTTGTTTAGTACGGATTCCGTTCATAAGGAATCAAAAACTAAAGAATCTGGAATACTCAATAAAGAACCCTCCATAATGAATCTTCCGTAAGAAATCCTTAATCAGAACTCCTTAATAAGGAATATGTCCTCCGGAATCCGTCATGCGGAATCCTTGCAAAGGTATCGTGCTTAAGGAGCCCTAAAAAACATTCCCTCACAATGAATAGCTATTAAGGAATAAAGGCTAAGGAATCCTCAACGGAAAATATATACTTAAAGAAGATTAGTAAGGAGCTCGCTGTAAGAAATCTCGAATGGGGAGTCGCAAGGAATCCTGAACAAGGAACCTCAAATAAGGAGCCCCTACTAAAGAATCTGTATCACAGAATCCGTATTAAAGAACATGTGTGACGGAATCCGTGCTAAGGAGTCTTTATTCATTCATCCCGCATGCGGAATCTGAACGCAGGAATCCTTAATTGAATGGCCAAGCGTCCCCACCCTCGGTTCAAGAAAACGCTGTATTGTTTTGTTTGCGTGGTTCTTTTGGAATGGGATGCAAGGAAACACTGTATGTGTGTGTTGTTTTTGGTTGTTGGTTTTGCAGGCTCAAAGTGAAGTGCTGCGAGGGAGGCCGCGGCGACCACTGGGGCCTGCAAAACCAAATCAACAACAAAGAACAGTGGCTCGTGGTTTCACAAACCAATAAAACAACCAACAAACAAACATACAGGGCTCCCTCGCACCAACGGCGCCATATATTGTGTAGGTTCGGTTAGTTTGTTTTTGGGGGTCTGGGATGCAAGGAAACACAATGTATGCCTTTGTTCTGTTTTGCGGCCTCTAAGAAAAGCAGTGGGGCTTGCAATACCAAAAAAACGACAGTGTTTCGTGGTTCCACAAACCCAAAAACAAAACAACAAAAAATACACCGGCTGATTTCTTGCACCAAGGGCACCAACTACTGCGTATGCTTATTTATCTAATCGCTTCGCTCATTCCGCCGGCCCGTATTGAGCCCTCGCTGGCGTTTGGGCTTTAGGGCGCCTTTGGGGGTCCTCGTGGGGGGTTTCTTGGGGGACTCCTGGGTTTCTGTTGGAGCCTCTTTGGGGTTTCTTGGAGCTCCTTTGGGTGCATTTGGGCGCATCCTGGGGCTTCTGGGCGCCGCTTGGGGCCGAGGGCTCGATATGTCCGTTCTGGTTCCCACATTGGGCCTCTTCTTTGGGCTGTCCTGGTGCCATCTGGGGCCGTGTCGGAGGCCTCTTGGGCCGTCTTGGAGGTCTCTTGGGCTGCCTGGGGGCGATATTGGAGGCTTCTTGGGCCGTCGTGGAGCGTCGGGGAGCTGAACAGGTGGGAACGCTAAAATCTTGCAAAAACCAAAACGAACTCGACCATTTTTGCTTCCTGGGGCTCTCTTGAGATCCTTCTTGGAGGCATCTTCGGGCGTCTTGCAGGCGTCTGCGGGCGTCTGGAGGCCATTTTGAGCGGTTTGGTCCGATCGGTCGGCGACTCGGGGCTTTCTTGGACCATCTTGGGGTCAGTTACCAGAGATCTTCGGACACCTCTGGCCCGTTGGGCCGCCGAATTTGGCTCTCACCGAATCGGGTGTCGCGTCTGACCTTCATGTCTCGGAGGGGAATTGAGGAGGAGGAGGAGGACTCAACTCCCTCCTGCTGCTCTCTCCTCCTCCTCGTGCCCCCTCCTCCCTCCTCATCCCCCTTCTCCCTCGTTTTGCGTCGACGTCGACGACGACGACGACGACGACGACGACGACGACGACGACGACTACGACTACGACTACGACCACTACGACGACTACGACGACGACGACGACGACGACGACGACGACGACGACCTCGTGGCAGGTCTCTTCGGGGCCTCCTGGAAGCAGTTCCGAGGCCTCTTGGGGCTCGGTTCGGTGCATGTTGGGGGCCCGCGGCCCGCTGCGACCTCCGCCGCGCAGCCTCCGGCCCGAGTCCCCGGCACCCTGCGTCGTCTCGTGGGGCGTCTGGGGGCTATCTCGAGGGCCTTTTGGGGGCCTGCTGGGGCTTCAAAGGGGCCTCTTGGCGCCTCCTGGGGGCTTCTTAGGGCCGAGGGCTCGAAATGTTGTGTCGTGTTCCCCCTCTGGGGCTTCTCTTAGAGCGTTCTTGGGGCCCTCTTGGGCCGTCTTGTAGGCTGCTTGGGCCGTCTTCGAACCCTCTTGGGCCGTCCTGGGTCCCTGTCGGAGGCCTCTCGGGCCTCTTAGGGCGATCTTGGAGGCCTCTTTGGCCGTCTTGGGGCGTCGCGATGCCGAAAAGGTGGAGACGCCAAAATCTCCAAAAAACCTAAAGAAAAACAATGAATGTTGCCTCTGGGGGCCCTCTTGGGAGTCTCTTGGGACTCCTTGACGGCGTCTTGGGAGCCCCCAGACTCTTGGGGGGCGCTTGGAGGACTCTTTGGGCGGGAGGGGGGGGTAGTCGATTGCGGCTCCCCCCTCGAAGGCCACGATCCCCGTGAGGGGTGTCGAAATATGGCCCTTCCCTGGAGTGCTCTGGTGACTCCTCCCGGGCTTCTGCCGGGGTACTTTTCTTCAGGGGACCCCCAGGGGCCGCCCCGCGCGCGCTAAGTAGAACTATTGTAAAGCAGTTACCGGAGATCTTGTTGGCACGCCTCTGGCCCGTTGGGCCGGCGAATGTTGTTTTGTGGGTTCATAGAGAAGTGCTGCGAGGGAGGCCGCGGCGAGCATTGGGACGCGCAAAAAAGTGTTTCGTGGCTCCACATACCAAAAAAATCAACAACGAAAAAACACATGGGCTCCTTGCACTGATAGCGCCAAGCGCTGTCTGGCATTGGTTCTGTATTGCTACAGAGACGCAGAGGAAGAGGAAGAGGTGGAGGAGGAGTAGGAGGAGGAAGAGGAAGAAGAGGAGGAACAGGAGGAGGAGGAAGAAGAGGAGAGGGGGGGAGAGAAACGAGAGGAAAACTGGAAATAAATAGAGAAGCTGAGAGAGGTATGATCACAGGGGGCGACCGTAGATACATGTACATATATATATATGTATATACATATATATATATACATGTATATATATGGTACCCCGACACACACACACATGACCTGAGATATTCTTCTTCCATGCATCCCATACCTCATCCTCATCCTCCTCCACTCTTTTTCGTTCTCTCTCTCTCTCTCTCATCCCCTTCTCCTCCCCCCCTCCTCCTCCTGCAGGAGCGCGGCAGCCTTGCAAAGGGATCTCGTTTTGAAAAGCCTTCCACAGGGGCTGCTTTCTGAAGGAAGCCATACGAAAACACATGTATTCCTCCAGCACAAAAGGACATCCCTCCACGAGGAGGGGACAGGAGGAGAAGGAGGAGGCTTGGAGGAAGAGGCATTTGGGCACGGAAAAAAACACACAAAATTAAATGCATAAGAAAGAAACCACAGACCCAGGGCTGGAAAAAAAAAACGAAATCAAACAAAAAACTTACCCCGTCCCTGCCGCCCTTACAGAGAACGTGGTGCAAATGTTGTGTTGTTTGTGTGTTTTTTGAGGCGTGCCTTGTGTTGTGTTGGTTGTTCAGCCATGGGTCATTGGTTTCTTTGGTGTTGTTCTTCTCTGGTTTGCCCATGCCCAAAAGGTCGCGCTTTCCAATAGAATCCCGTTTTGGTGCTTTCCAAAGGATGCCTGTTGTGAGGATGTCCCATGGAATCCCTGTGAGGCGCGTTCCAAAACATTCCTGTTGTGAGGCTTTCCAGCAGAATCCCTTTGTGGCGCTGTCCAATCCACTAGAATCCCTTTGTGGCGCCTTCCGAAGGATTCCTGTTGCGAGACTTTCCAATAGAATCCCTGCGTGGTGCTTTCCAAAGGATTCCTGTTGTGAGGCTTTCCAATAGAATCCCTTTGTGGCGCCTTCCAATCCGATAAACCCCTTTGTGGTGCGTTCCAAAGGGTTCCTGCTATGAGGCCTTCCAATAGAAACCCTGAGCGATGTGTTCCAAAGGGCTCCTGTTGTGAGGCAATACAATGGACTCCGTTTGTGGTGTTTTTCCCACGGGTTCCTGTTGTGCTGCTTTCCAATCGAACCCTTGAGTTGCGCGTTCCAAAGGATTCCTGGTTGGAGGTTTTCCAATCGAGTCCCTGCGTGGCGCTTTCCAATCCAATAGAATCCCGGTGTTGCGCTGTCCAAAGGATTCCTGTTGTGCGGCCTC